GTAATATAAAAAAGTAAAGTGACAATTGTGAATGTGGCTAGTGAAAAAAATGGTCAACTCTCTTCCATACCCTCTCCTGAGTGCATAAAGATGTTTGTTTAAAATAGTTTGTTTAAAATAGTTCTAATTCCTTAAACCCTAACTTGAAGCACTAAAAATTTCATTCCTAACATCTGCATCTCCCTATAATGTACTTGTACTATATTCCATAGATCAATGTGAATAACTTAGTTGTTTTACTGTAGCTCTCCCGAGTCATTACTGATCACAATACATGTTAACTAATCACTTGACAAGAATGAAAAGTAAATGAAGTTCATAAGGTTATTCATCACATTCAATATTAAAAAATAATTTTAAATCACTTTACATTCCTTCACAACCTACTCAGCCATCACAAGAAAAATGTAAAAAGACTACTCAAAAAGTATTGAGAAAACTCCAAAAAATATCTTTGAAAACAAGGAAATCCACTATAAAATGGTGTTTTTTGAAATACAAATATAGGAGTACACAATACTTAGCTTTTTCCACTCTTTAATGGGTTGAGAATGCTTCTCCCAAGTATCTCCAATTCCCTTTGCTGCTTTTCTAAACATTCCCCACTTTACACTTGAAAATCTCTCAAAAACTCTCACAAAATGCTCTCTAATCTCTCATACAAAAAAAGCATTGACTAGGGACTACAACTAGCAAGCAAAACTACTGACTTTCCTTCTTTAAATGACCTCTATACCAAGTTGCACAACTCCCTAAATCATGTTAAAGAACCTTTGAAACTGCACAAATAGTTTTTGATGCCGAGGGATCAAGCTCTCTATTAGCTAGTATTAGTAGAGGTGACTATGCGCAAAAAATTTGGCACCAATGCGCTTTGTAGTGGTTCCTTGGTGACATGCCTAAAATATGTTATGTTTGTTTGCACATTTAATGATTATTTTTAATGTTATTGCACTTTAATGAAAAATTTTTTTGATGTTTTTGGTTTTATGTACACTAAATGGAGAAAATGGAGCAAAAAAAAACAAAAATAGAGCAAGTTGGAGTTAAAAGAAGCAAAGAGGCCAATGTTGATCTCGCACCAGAAACTCTTGGGGATTTTGAAAGCACTATTCAAAGAGACTTCTGGAGATTTAATGGGGGTTATTTTTTAGAGAAAGGAGAGTTATATTAGAGAGAAGGGTGGTCTCTTTGGAGAGGAGAAATTCTTGGTGGCTTGCTTAGATTTGGAGAAGAAGAGGAGAAGCGAGAGATATGTTCTTCACTAGAGTTCTAATTGAGATTGGAGAGGAATTGTAAGGAGAGTAGTGATTCAAAGGTACTTGAAGGATTTCTTGGGAAGGTGTTTAAGATAAGTTGAGTAATTTATTTATTTTTCTCAGTCTTGTTTTGTACACTTATTTTTATTCATAAATCAGTGTGTTCTTGTTTCTTCCACAAGAGATCTTAGTAGATTCCTTTACCTTTTTCCCTGCAATGAGGAATAATTATGAGTAGGAATGAAGTTTAGTAGAAATAATTTTAATTTCATAAATTGTGATGATTCAAATTCTATGTTTAATTTTCTTATCGATCAAGCCAATTGATTTGTTAAAATCTATTATGAAATGTAGTGACCTGAAAAGTGTTATGCTTTTACAACATAATACGAATATCATTTAGTTTCATGGATAAGATTGTAGTCTGTGAGATTAAATACAAATAAATAGGGAACTAAGTTTTGATGGGTGTAGAATTAAATATTTTAGAGTGACAAACTGAAATTCCCAATTTAGTCCAAATGTTTAAAAACTAAAGCGAGATGTTAACCTTCAGGTGAGGGGTAAGTGAAACTCTAGAGTGAGAGCTAGTATCTTCCCTGCCTAATCACAGGTTTAGAGACTAAACTCTGGATTAGCCAATATTCTTTCTGCACTCGAGAGAGTGTAAAGAATAGGTGTGTTTCTATTTAGCACAATACATTAATTATATTTAAAATTATTTTACTCCTACGCTGATTATAAACTCATTGCAAGGGGAAGAATGTTTTATAAAAATTTGAACTCTTCTATACATCGTTAGTTTATAATTGCTTAGTGGTAACTTTACATCTTGCATTTACATTCACTTAACCTACTTAGCATTATTTTAACTCAAAAAAATTTGATAACACAAAATTTTTTTTATCATTTCTTATATAATTTAGCTACATTTTTAAGAAGTTTTTACCGAATTCATCCTATAAGAGTTTTGCATATCCTGGTGGGATCGATACTTAGGACTCTATTAAATCTCTATATTGCTTGAAACGATACGTTTAATTGCGTTGTACCCCTAGTGTGTAAACCATTTTTATCAACTTTATATAATTTTTAATTTTTCACTCTAGCCTCTAAAAATATATATTCGGTCAAGCTTTTGGCCATATTTCTGATGTAAAATTACTTGCAATTGCAGATTGGGTCATGTTTCTAGCGTCATTGCCTGGGACAACAAAGAAAACTTTATAATTAAGAAAATCATTATTTTAACTATAAAAATAATATAGGAAAACTGCAGTGTCATTTATATACGTTATTGTGTATTTAAAAATAAAAATATAAAAGAAATTGTATATATATATATATATATATATATA